AAAAAATATAATTGTTTTTTCTAACGAAGGTTTGAAAGAATGTGCTACCAATGTTTTTAAAATAAAACCAGCTCCCCTGTAACCCAAAAAGCTTGACCTAGATGTTGTCCTGGGGTGCGTTTCCCAAAAGCATCATTAGCTAACTATGGTCACAAGTTCCATTGAACTCTATCGATAGAACTCGTGAACATAGTTGATTTTGGGAAACGGACCCCTGAATTTGGTTAATTTTATGGTAACTCTTCACTGGTTTTCCCAGCAAAGTTTAGTCCACACTGACAGCTTGAAGCCTAATAATGTTACATACTTATTCACTCAATATAATTTTTCACTGTAACTTATCTTGGGTAGTCGGAAACTATCAAACAGTGCAATGTGCATGGTTTAAGGTCAAAAGTGATTGAGGACAAAATGCAAAACTATGTGCTAATGTTTGAAACCACTATTCTCAGATTTCAATTACAGTAAGATCTATTTTTTTCTAATTGCTCCGTTAAATTTTGGGATTCATTTTAAAAAGGCAAACACATTTTAAGACATTATTAGTAGATGTTGATGAAACATTCTTAAATAAAACTTCTCAGTTTAGGTTTGGATGCATTACAGTTATGGACAAATGTTGGCACCAGTGGTGACATGTAAGCCAAAGCCAATTTTATTTTTTTGAAACCTGGATGCCAGCCTAAACTTAATCGCGATTGCGATGATGTCTGGAGCGGTTCCACAATTTATTCACACTTTCCCCCAAAGTACACTCCATACACCACACCAAGTAAAACAGCACACATAGTTCTCAAAATAATTTTTGTATTATACCAAACTTAACATGCACTTCCATTCAAAGGTTTGGGATCAAAAAGATTTTATGTTATTAGCTATTAGTGTTATGCTATCAGTTAGGCTGCATTTATATGATCAAAAATACAGTAAAAACGGTAATATTGTTAAATATTATTACAATTTAAAAGAACTGTCTTCCATTTTAACATATTTTACAATGTAATTTATTCCTGTGATGGCAAGGCTGAATTTTCAGCAGTCATTACTCCAGTATTCAGTGTCACACGATCCTTCAGAAATCATTCTAATATGCTGATTTGGTGCTCAAGACACATTATTACCAATATTGAACAGTTGTGCTGCTTTATATTTTTGTGGAAACCATGCTGCAATTTTTTTTCAGGATTCTTTAATGAACAGAAAGTGCACAAGAACAGCATTTATTAGATTTTTTTTTCTCATTTTTATTTATTTATTTTGGTACCACTCAAAAGTGTTAATTACTTTCAAATAAAGATAATCTTACTCTTACAAATAAAGAAAATGTTCAAATAAAAAATCTTACTGTCCTTAAACTATTGGATGATAGTGCATGATTCACATTGTATTTGAGACATCTGCGGCTTTGAAAGCTTTTTCATCTTGTTACAAATGAGATTGGGAGTGAGCTTAGCAAAACTGTAGAAAAGGATAGTTAGGTGTAGATGAGAAGAAAATCGGCGTGGGAGGCTAAAGGTGTGAAGAGAATGTAAAAAGTCACACATCACTTAAATAGGGATTAGCCTCTAAACAGTGTGTTTGGCGTCTTAGCGCTCAAGGGCTTATCACAGATCCGACTATGCAAGGAAGCCACCATCATGAGCAGGAAGTTGAGGCGACTGCTAGACTCAAACCAGGTCAGCGTCCAGTCTATATGCAGTTACCCTAATGGCCCAGTTGATTGTGCAGACTTTACATCATGTGCCTGCTTGATGATGTAACTGTAAACTGACACATATACACATTTTATATTAAAGGGATAGTTCATACAAAATTAAAATTCATTCTTTCTTTTATTATTTATTCACCATCATGTTGTTCCAAACCTGTATGACCTTTTTTGTTCCACAGTCGTGGCCTAATGGTTATAGAGTCGGACTTGTCACCCGAAGGTTGTGGGTTCAAGTCTCAGGTCTGGCAGGAATTGTGGGTGGGGGGAGTGAATAACCAGTGCTTTCTTCCACCCAATATACCACGACTGAAGTGAGACCCTTGAGCAAGACACTGCTCCCCGGGCGCCACAGCAATATGGCTGCCCATTCCACAGTCGTGGCCTAATGGTTATAGAGTCGGACTTGTCACCCGAAGGTTGTGGGTTCGAGTCTCAGGTCTGGCAGGAATTGTGGGTGGGGGGAGTGAATAACCAGCGCTTTCTTCTACCCAATATACCACGACTGAAGTGAGACCCTTGAGCAAGACACTGCTCCCCGGGCGCCACAGCAATATGGCTGCCCACTGCTCTGGGTGTGTGTTCACTACTGTGTGTGTGCGCACTTGGATGGGTTAAATGCAGAGCACAAATTCCGAGTATGGTTCACCATACTTAGCCTCACTTCACTTCACATGCAGAGCACAAATTCCGAGTATGGGTCACCATACTTAGCCACACTTCACTTCACTTGTGTTACAATTTATTTTGTCATAGTGCTACATTATATAAACATACATACACTGAAAAAAAAATCAATACATCAAACATTACAAACCTTACTATCATATTATTTCAAGTGGCCACATGAAGTATTTGCACATTCAAATCACACATGCATCAGTATGAATGTCATTACATTTGATAAAATATCAAAGGAGGAGGCATTTGTTTTTAAAGACAAATCATAAAAAGGAGTTCAATAGGTTTGAAATGGTAAAGTATACTGTTCAAAATGTATTTTGATGCCACTTGGTTTGACACTTTGTTATCTACTGCAATGAAATTCAGACATTTTTAATATGGCTTAAGTGTCCAACTACTTTTTGGGTCACTGTGTCTATCTATATTTTGCAGAACACTATGAAATCATAGATATTAACACTTTTTATTTTTAAAAATGACATGTGTGTCAGATGAGGAAAGCTGGAAGCAATTTGTGGTGGATTGAGGAAAAGTCCGTTAACCTCAGATTGGTTTGGGGCCATCTAATCTCCCTGTTTAGTCACCTTCACTTAGAAGTTGGACAAGCTTTCCGTGATCTCATTATGGGGCTGTGGTCACATTTACCCACTACGGCCCGCATATCAGTCCAAAAGGACATTCAAGCCCCCTGAACTGTATAAACTGCATACTGCATAAATATAGCCTTCCTATCACACTACTCTTGGGTCCTATAACTGTGCAATAAATACATACACTACCGATCAAAAATTTGGGGTCAGTAAGATTTTGACATTTGGCAATTTGACATTAAAATTGACATTCATATCAATAAGTAACTTTGCAACTACATGTCAACTAACTCACATAAGCTGACGTACTTCTTAAAAATAACTTATAGTAGAATGTAACAGAATGTCTGTTGAGGGAACAATAAATAATGTGTAATTCTCTAATGACTGGTAGTTGACATGTAGTTGCAGTAGTTGACAAGTTATAGTAAGCAGAATGTCTAAAGTAGACTATTGAAATAAAGCGTTAAATAGTTTTTGACAAAAGTCTTTTATGCTCATGAAGGCTGCATTTATTGATAAAAAATTTAAAATAAAAACAGTAATAGTGTGGTGCTTAATATTTTTGTGCAAGCCATGACATTTTTTCAGGATTCTCTGATAAACAGAAAGTTGAAAAGAACAGCATTTATTTGAAATATTTGATAACAATTTAAAAGTCTTTACTGTCATTTTTGATCGATTGAATGCATCCTTGCTGAATAAAAGTATTAATTTCTTTAAAAATAAAATAAAATAAATTAAAACAAAATATCTTTCTGACCCCAAACCTGTGAATGGTAGCGTAGACCTACTGCAAATATTGTACAGACAATTCTATTTATTGTTGCCTTGGGTTATGTGTGCATGCAACAAAGTAACTAGAGGTAAAACATGTAATCCCTTTAAAAATAATAAACCTCGACTTGACTAGAAAATTAAGAAGAAATAATGTGTTAAATCCAAAGCACATTTTAGCAGACACACCTTATCTGAATATCGGTGTCTGTGGTGGTTATGGCCCTGGGTCTACAAATTGTCCAGTAGATGGAGCTATCCAACAGTCTCTGCATAGTAAGAGGATAGCAATGCACTTGCATGGAGACAGAAATACACTTCTTATGTCCAGCAGGTGGTGCATTCATTCACCTTTGGACAAGCTAAGACTACTTTCCAGTACATCAAAAGAAAAAAACAGTTCCATGCAGTCTGTGTTCTGAGCATGTGAATGTTCATAACTGTTCATTTGCAGTCTGATTCTGATGATCCTTTACTGTTTAAGACTAAATCTTTATGTTTAAATGTTTACATAGGTTAATTGAGAAGTCAATGTCATTGCTGTAATGTCATTAGTTACCCAGCAGATGGCATGATCTTGCATGTTAGTCTAGGAAAGTGTATCAAAATCTTTTGTCATTAATTTGTCTAACCCTAACTAAACCATAACAGAAGAAATGATTACAAAAATCTAAAAATAATACAATTGTTTAAAAAATAATAATATTGTAAAAAGCATGTGAAAACAAATAACAATAGTTCTACTTCACGTTTGTACGTTTGTATACTAACAACTCTCAATTGTAAGTTTCACATTTATACACTTTTTTTGGAGTGTGTTTGACAAACACACTTCACTCTTAAAGGGAAAGCTGAAAAACGTAACAGGTGACCTTCAAGGCCCTTTTTGTGGTAACACTTCAATGCATTTATTGAGAGCAAACAAGCCTTGTCCTGTTAATTCATTTGAAATACACATATACAAACTTATTCTCCATATGAACTTTATCATGTAACTGTATGATCAATTAAAAAACTGTTGCTTTGATAAACATTTCAATACTTAACCATCATATGATCTTCATAACAAAGCTGTAACCATGTCTTGAACATTAGGAGGGACCAATTTTTTATTTAATTAATATATTTTTTTATATAAAGAAAAGGAAATTCTAGAAATTCTAGTTGAGAAGTAATAATGCACACATTCACTCTTATTTGTATGGCTAATATGTTGAAAATGCAAAATGTTTCTTGTCTCATTACATTCTGTTAGGAATTGCACAAATCATGTAAATGATACCAAATTTTCCATTCAAACTGGCGAAATTTGAGGGGGAAAAAATTGAGTAGTTTGTTTCACTGGATGTTACTGTCATTTTCTTTAACATTTCTATCATAAAACACTCAAAAGAAACAGTGTTTAGCTTCTGTTTTGGGCGTTTAGGATCAGGCAGGTCTTCAGCAGGAGTACACAAGACTCTTACTCTCTGATATGAACAATTTTAAAAATGATGCACATGGTTAATTATGTTGAAAATAAATTATAAAAATCAGAAATTTCATTAACATTATGTTTTAAATATATAAATCCATACATAGAAAATAATATATATATATATATATATAGAAATTGTTTAAGCAGTCAAAAAAAGGAGTTTCTTATGGGCATACCTGTCGCATAGACCCTGGAGTGGTGCCAACCAAATAAATCATCCACAGTGGAACTAGTAGGGTGGAAGAAAGGGTGAAGAAGCCACCAATCGCATAACCCCACCAGGGATATTCATACACATTGTTGAACTTCAGAGGAGTGTATTTAACCAAGGAGAAGATAAATGTTCCCTAAATAGACAGGAAAGAGAATGATGAGCAATGGGGAGCCGTCAGTTAGTTTGGTATGCTTTGTCACATTGAGTCAGTGCACAAAGTCTCAGAATAGGAGAATGGTTTTCTTCTGTTTTGAAGTGCTGTCAGTTTAAAGACAGACACAAATGACAGGTGTCAGACACAGACTCGCAGGTGGCAGACAAATCACTTCCTACCTCTACATACTGGTCTGAGGATAGTTTGTGATTACAATATGAAAATAAAGAATTAAACATTTGCTCTGAGTTTTAAAAAGCCTCAGAAAAAGATTTCAAGGGATTTAAATGATACTCACTGTGCATATAGCTGGTGTTAGATATTTCCAGCAGCACTTCATGAAGGGCCAGGGCCGATATCCAATCATATCCTCAATGCTATCATAGAGGCGATCTGCACCTGATATAAAACTCAAAAGTTTTAAAACTCAAAAGTACATTGTAAATCATTTTATCGCATTACTTTGTGTTCAATTCGCTTTTAATGTGCTAGGAATTGAGTACACTGTTGAATTAATTACACGTCTGAGCAGATGTTCTTTAAATATTTCAACAGAGGTCGCCAGAGTTGCAAATGCAAACATGTACCATTTGTGTACATTTCTTTACAGAGTTTTTCTTTACAGAGTCAAATAAATGATTTACCATATACCCATCCAACACAGATGGACTGAAGGATAGCAAAAGTAAGAAGAGTCATTCCACTACAGGCGTAATAGTCAAAAAGCTGGAAGACATACAGGCCACCCTGAGAGTGAAACAGAAAAACTAAAAATTGCTGACAGAAAATACAGGTACTGTAGATGTGGTGTTTGTATTTATTTATTTCAATCAACCATCTTTGTGTTCTCATTTGTGACTCTCACCTCTGTTACTATTAGCAGACCAACAAGGAAGCTGGCAGCACTTATGAAGAGGAGAAGAAATTTACGCCGATGTCCAGTTTGGAAGAAGGAGGGATACATATCCGAGATAGCCGTTACCAGGGCTTCATGATACACAAACTGATAGATTCAAAGAAAAAGCTTTAGGGTATCCATACTAGGATATAAGGAATTAAATATGGGAAAATCCTCTGTATTGCTTCCTGTATTTACCTCACTATCCAGTCCCAGGAATATGATCATGATAAAGAAGAAGATTGCCCATAACTGAGGCAGGGGCATCAAAGCTACAGCACGGGGGTAAGCAATGAATGCCAAACCAGGACCTGCCACAAACAAAAGTCATTAAACAAATCCCTCCCCATCCCCATTTTTTGACACAACTTAATCACTGCATCTAATGTGAATGGCAGTGCTTAGTAATACAAAAAATATATATATTTCGGCTTAATTTTCAGCAGTGCAATTGTGTAACCAATGGTATTGCTTCATTTTGCAGTTAATATTTCCAGAGCTCTGATTTTTAGGTTTCTGTATGCTTTTTTTATGCTATATTGACCTTCACTTGCTTTAAGAGACTTCAAGCCTTATATATGGTTTTTACCTGACTCTGCAACCATTGAAATATCCATTCCCTGTTCATCTGCCATGAAGCCCAGGACCGAAAATATAGCAAAACCAGCCACAAAGCTAGTTAAGCTGTTGAGCAGACACAAGTATACACAGTCTCTGAAAGACAAATGGTAAAAAAGGCAGAGTGCCAAGTCCCATCTAACATTACCAATCTGTTCTATTCCCTCAGACAAGCCCAAAATTCTTCTCCTGTAGGCAAAAATACGGAATCACATTCTGTTTTGCAACCTTTATTGAGAATCATTTTAATTAGCTGGATGAGTTTTGTTATCCTGTGTTGCCTTAATTGCGTAATTCTAATAAACATATCCGGTTTAATGGGGTGCTATTTTCAACAACTTACTCCCAAAACTCAATAACAGGAGATGTGCTTTTCTCTGGAGAATATTCAGTAATGTTGCTTTTTCTCAACTCTTTGCAGTTCTCTAAATAAAGAAGGCAGTGGTTATTCAAATGACATATCCCAGTATTATGATAATTCACACTGTTATGCTTGAGATACCTGTGTTCCAGTAGTTGTTGCAGCTCGCCCATGGCAGCTCTGAGCTGAAGGATGAAAAGAGGTAAAGGAAAGCCCAAGCAAGAATTATAATGTAATAGACTCCAGTATAGAGGACAACGACTTGGCTACCATAACCAAGACCTATGAAAAAATGAAAAGTAGCAAAGTAGTGTAAAAAAACAGTAATACATTGATATTTAAAAGTCAATGTATATGAGATCATTGTTCACCTTCAAATAGTGGACAGATCTTCCTCCAGCACGTTATTCCACCCTGACTGGTGAACTGACCCAGTGAGGTCTCCAAAAAGAAAAGTGGAATCCCACAGGTGAAGAGAAACAGCACATAAGGCACAAAAAATGCCCCTAAATGACAGAATGATTTATCAATACACAGCAAACATACAAATCAAAATACAATATGCAATATACAAAAATACTACATTTGCATCAAAACTCCAGCAATACACACCAAAACACTGTGAAGATTTTATTTAGTCAGTATTAAATCACCCTTATAAAGAAAATAAAAACGGTCTAAAAAGCGGAAATGATCCAAAACGGGGTTGGCAAATTATTGTTTGAATTCAAAATCATTTATATGACAAAATGGCAACATGTGTAAACAAAAATACCATATTATACCATATCTATTCTAAAGCAAGTATGTGTCAGCATGACTGTAAATAATTATCATTTTAATAATTTATTTTCAATAATTAAATTTTTATTTTCATTTAGCAATGTACACTACTGTTCGAAGGTTTGGGTTCACTATGATTTTTTTTTATTTTTTTTTTATAAAAAAATCCAGTAAAAACAGTCATATTAAAAGTAAAACATTATTAAAATAATAGTTTATATGTAGCGAATCAGCTCATAAGGAAATATGAATACTTAATCATAACTAGTTATAATTAATTATAAATATTTAGATCCGCTGTAGATATTTACTTGACCTCTCAGGGTCAACTGTCTGTCAATTCTAAGAACGTTAATTTCCTGGTTAAGGGAAATTACTTTCTTACTGTACAATTCTACACAGAGCTTGTAGCATAAATCTGCATGATTAAGGGACTATTATAAATATATATATATATATAATCACGGTTTTCACAAAAATATTAAGCATATTATAAAATAATATTTGATGAATAGAATTTGTTTGAAATATAAATTATTGTAACAACGTAAAAATAATATTCATTAAAAAAAAATTTTTAAATTGACCCCAAACTTTCAGAACAGTAGTGATTAAAGATTAAAGTAGGCCAGATTAAAATGCATCCCATTAACATTGTGTGTGTGTGTGTGTGTGTTTGTGTGTGTATATGTGTATGTGTATGTGTATGTGTATATGTATGTGTATATATATACACAGAATGATTGGCACTGATCTCAAGCCCTTAGACACTGAGACTTATATCCTAAAATATTTAAATTATAAAAAACTACCACAGATTTTTATCTTCTGTGTATCTGAGTCTTTGGAACTTTTTTAAGATAAAATATTATTTTATATTAAGAACCTATGTTAACTCAGGAACTTAAACACCATAAAACAAAACTGAATATAAATTTGCACTCACCCCCTCCATTCTTGTAGCACAAGTAAGGAAACCTCCACACATTTCCCAGGCCAATGATGTGCCCTGCCACCGCCAAGAGAAACTCCAGCTTATTAGCCCACTGCTCTCTTGCCTGGGGTTTAGGTCTGGCCTGTACTAGGGCACCATTCATGTGGTTTAACTTCACCCCTGGCCTTGAGCTATGCTCCATGATGCTAATAATGGGTTGTTGATAAACATATATTATACACAAATATAGTTGTCATGTAACATACATTTAAGGCATAATGAAGAACGGGGCTTATATGTGTTTGGGGTAGATGTGGGCCCCATGAGCTCATCTGTAGGAAATGATAATATCAATAGACTCTGCAAACAGCTGCGCATGATTGCACGTGTTTTTTCACGTGCTTTTACCTCTCAACAAACTAGTGATAGAGCAGTTGTTGTCTATTGGTATATATTTCCACATTTGGATCTTATACCTATATACCTATAAATGTATTGTTTTGGCTACAGTTTCCTATTTATTATTCTCAGCAGCCTTAAAATTGCACATACTACCTTGCATGATACTGAAGTGAAAAAGAAATTTGCACCTCCACATTTCAACTGTAATTGCAGTTAATTAATTTAAGTCAGTTATTCATGTTAAATTAGTATGCTATATATATATTCAGAAATACACCTGTCACCACAAACAGATCATTAAAACCCTGAAAGGTTACATGTCATTCTTATCTTAATAAAAAAAAAAAGTATATTATAAAGAAAATCAGCTCAAACTTACAACTGACTTACAGATGATGACAGCTGATGCATATGTTTAAAAAGAAATTGGATGAAAATTCATAAGTAAAGTGCTTACCTGTTCAGCATGGTTTTACTTCGAGCACAGCTGAAACCTTGCCTGTTTTCATTTATTTATTTATTTCATTTTATTTTATTTTATGAAAACTACAGTACATCTGCTGTTTCACTACAATAAAGTGTTATGTAATGCGACAAAAGAGTAATAAAAATATACCTTTGATTTAGAAGAATCCTTCTTGTTTGTCTCTTTCATGCAGTGCCTGTATCTAGCTTAGCAGTTCAAAATAATGTCCTCAAAGAGAATGCCCGAGGAGTGGCCAAACCGGCTTCAAGAGCTCCTGAACAAGAACTGCTGGTCCTGAGCTGATGGTCTAAGACTGTTTATATTCTCTGCTTTACAACGGTTGTAAACAAGACCATGCCATGATCAGAATTTGTGTTTGGGTTTTGTGCGCCCCCCTGTTTATAGCAGGTTTTTTCAGAGATAAAACAGAAATGTCTTATCAGTGGAGCAACTGACAACCAATGGGTTTCTTTCTCTCACCCTACTCTCTTTGGTTATTTCTAGATCTTTCTCCATCTTTGAGCCTGTCTGACAATTTTGCAATAAGTTCAGCACAGTTCTCTCTAAAGTTGGACATTGAGTAACTGGACACCATGCCATTTGCATTGTCAAATGCCTTCAGGAAAGAAAGAATGCTGAAATACCTGTATCGAATGTGTTCTGTTTGTGCTTCACTAAGCAATGTGTAATTGCTGCACAGTCCATATGACATTCTCCCATCATAATCCTCCAGATCTACTCAATTAAGTGTGTGCTTGTAGAACTCAGCTAAATGAAACAAATTAAGCCTACATAAATCTAGGTGGAATAGCCTACAGATGCTGGAATACTGATCACAATCAATTGCATTTTTCACAATGTTTAAGGAGAGAGATATAAGGAGGAGTAGAATTGTTGTTGGTAAAAAAAAAATAAAAATAAAAAATCTGCCATTTTTTCCACTATCACGCAGTAGGCTACTTTCAAAACATTGCGGTTTGTGGAAACGCCATTTACAAAATCAACAGTGATCTCTTGTGGTAGACTATCAGAATTGCTTTTTCCCATCGAAATTCAATAGCTAGATATCTCTCGAAATTCGACTGTAAATGTGTTTGACTTCTCTTATTTGCTCTTTATTTTCAAACATACACTGACTCCCGTTGTCTCTATAGTTTAAAGACGAACTCCTGCATTAAAATAAATTTGTGCAGAAAATGTCTAATTTAATTACTAATTAAATTAGATAATTTAAATGGTAATTCAATTCAATTAATTAAATTACAAGATTCAAACGCAACCAACATGTTTCTAAAAACAAATTCCACTTAGACGTGTCTAGATGGTAACCCTCATACTGCTACATCCGCGCATGCGTATTTGCTACTGTAAAACACATTAAAAGTTCTGTTTGTCGCTAACTGCCGGTGCCCTGACATTTTATCCTACCCGTCAGATTGTCCTACCAGGGTTTACTGTGCATGCCCACATCAATATTGCGTGCTTTTTCTCAAGCCGAACAACAATATTGAATGTATCTGCATTACTGTAGGGTAGGTTTAGGGTTGGGGTAGGTGTAGGTGTAGACTTTAATAAAACCAATAGGTAGAAAAAATTTTTTATTGTTGGTTTCATGTAACTGTATCCCTTCTAGCTACAACCGCGAACATAACACATAATTACTGTATTTGCATTACTGTAAGGGTAGGTTTAGGGTTGTGGTAGGTGTAGACGTTAATAAACCATAATTTTACAGGTAGCATTTTTCGTTGTCGAATTGTAGGCTACCCACTGTTTTAATGGGAGGTAGCAAAATCTGACAGGGTAGCACAAATCGACAGAACACCGGCTTGATAGGTTGTGAAAGTTTGAAAAAAAAAAAACTGTATGTGTGGTTACATATGCATGCATATTTTTAACTGTATGAGGATGACATACAAAAGTAAGAGGCAGAGGTTTTATCTCTGGAAGAAGGAAAGAACAATGACGAGTTGCGAGCAAGAGACATGCATTGCTTTCAGAGGTGTATTGATTATTTGTATGATTGTATTACAGATGCTTGTGTGTATGATTGATTATAGTAGGCAAGGCATCTATCTGTACTACCACTATCAGCGCGGAACCAGGTTTACTAACTAGACACGAGTCGACACTTGTAGGAGCAGGTTCCTATAGTGATGAAAAATGAAAAACCCGGAGTGGAGCTACAGCCGACTGATTACGTTTTGAGAGGGGAGGGGAAATCATTCGCTCCGTTCCATTCATACACCCTGCTCCAGACCGGATGAAGGTCGGCGTTGCTTGGTGACCAAAAGTTTGATGCTTTGCTTCTTTTGCAACTATTTCCGTTTGCGGAAAAGTAATAAACAAAAAATATATAGAACACAGTCGTGCTCGTATGATATTGCGTAATTATTGCTGACTGAATACTGTAGGCCTATCTGCATTAATAAAAATGATAACAGATTATAAAACAGAGTTGTTTACTCGTGTTAAGAGAGGAGTAAACCTTTTGATTTAATGTAACTAACAGATATTTAGCAATTTGGCAATTAAAATGGCAAGATGGACATATTTAGAAACATGCTGTCATTGCTATACAAGCTGTTGAGCTATAAGCCCCGCCTTGAGTTAAGACACACACACACACACATGTGATTCTACACTCTCGGTTCTGTATGGACTCGTTTCCCATTACGAGAGGTGGAGAGTATGAGAGGGGTGGGCTCACACACACACACATGTGATTCTACACTCTCGGTTCTGTATGGACTCGTTTCCCATTACGAGAGGTGGAGAGTATGAGAGGGGTGGGCTCACACACACACACATGTGATTCTACACTCTCGGTTCTGTATGGACTCGTTTCCCATTACGAGAGGTGGAGAGTATGAGAGGGGTGGGCTTCAGCGACTGTATTATAACAACCGAATCACACTGAATTAAGCCTACCTTCATGGCCAAGGTAAATGCGGTAGACTTCCTGAACTTTTGACCGATCGTCGCCTGCATCAGGTAACAGCTCTATAGCTTTTCGTTATCGGTCTGCATTGTTTTCAGTGCTTTCTAATTTATCGAAGAGGTTCTATTTAGCGCTGGGATTACCTGCGTAGTTGAACTGTTTTCTATTTGGCTTTTGTTTTTAGAAGTATTTCACTTTGCACCCGGCGTCTCCTCCTCAGCGTGGGTTTGAATAGCACTAGTGTTCGGCTGCTGAATGTAGGCCAAAAGGCATGAACACAAGCGCAATAACTGAGTGAGTTTCCTCCTTCTCTATATTCAGATCATCAGGGACAATACTGTCTCTGCTCCGTGACGATAAATAGGCTAGTGCGTGCGTCAGGGTTGCATCAAGTGCTGTTTGTGGTTATAATTAAGCATGGACAGGCAGGTTATTTAATAAATGAAAACGTATGACCTGCCTCACCCTAGTTAACATGCCACCTGTCACAATAAAATAAAATAAAATGAAAATATTGTATGAGTCAATAGCAAATAAGAATTTCCAAGATGAAAAGGAGATATCGTTTTAAAATGTAGTTTAAAACACAAGTGCCAAGCTCACAGCAATGTAATATTTGTATTCATGTTGGTTTCATACATTTAAAAAAAACTGTTTTATAATTTTCTACAATTTTCTACAAATTCTGAAATATTTGAGTTTATTTATTTGAATTATCAAAATATATTTAAATAGAAAAATATTTTTTATAAATATAATGGTTTTTTATATTTATTTAAAAATTGTAGTCACGCACAAGAAGATATTTTCTTAATGTTGTTCCATTTGAATTATCTAACACCTGTGTCTACACCAGACACGACAAAATACAATAGAACCTATTATGCTGTCTACACTGGATGCGGCGCGACAAATTCCCGAGGGTAAACTGCTGCTGCGTTCTATTTATGACCTACTGACACAAATTTCAAATGATTTTCAACTGTGGCTTTGTTGCGTCCAGTGTAGACAGACTTTAGCTGTTGCGGCGCGGTGCGACACGACAACTGTCGCGTCTGCTGTAGACACGGTGTAATAATAATAATAATAAATGACCTTGACGCACTGTCCTGAGGGTCTGAAGGGGTCCTCTTTTGTCAAATGACAAAAAATGGTGTTTCTATCTTTAACTTGGCAGACCTTTTTAAAGTAATATTTAAAAAAATATATGTTTTGCTGTTTATTTTCTTAAAGAAATAATAAGCCAAATACCAACCTTACAACCTTTTAATGAGACTTTTTTGTATATGTCCAGACAGTTACACCACCTAAAAATATATATAAAAAAAAGAAAAAAGACTCTTCATAGAAGGCTTTTTTTGTTTTGTTTGTTTGTTTGTTTAAATTGCATCTTTAATGTATTTTTGGATTTATTTAGAGAAATACCTTACACGTAGAAGTTGCAATGATATTGAACACAATGATATTATGCCATGTGTTTATCACTGGCTGTCAGGACTTTTCTTGTCTTTTTCCACCTTTTTTCGCCATGAACGTTTCATCCACATGAACATTTGGCTGTATAAAGAAAGCATTACTTTATCATAACTTTAAGATCATTAACTGCTAATGTGACATTATATTAGCTTAACAGTTGATTATTTCGAAAGTTAGTTAATAGTGAGAAATGTCTTGAAAATTTAAGTTCTTTTTGTTTTATATATCTTCTCCACGGGGTCCACTGGCCCTCAGTGGGATCATTAAGAGAATGTAGTGGCCTGTTAATTTTTTTTCACATATTATAAGGGTCACCGCACAAAAAATGAGGGCAGAGAAGGGAATGTGACTAAGAACCCTGCAGTGCCTCATGTTTTGGGGACACAAGATTATTTCAGCTCTGAGGAGTTGCGTAAATAACATGTACTCATTGCCGTCTGCATTTAATAAAAAAATTATACTAATTTTAAATTATACCAACAAATTATTATTGAGAACATTACCACTTGAGACTTAAAAACAATAAAAAATAATTTTAGATTTGATATATGTACTCTGCAGTAGGGCTGCACGATTAATCGAATGTGATTGTCATGCGCATTTTGTTAAAAAAGCCGGTTCTGTAATCAGCAGGAAATCATCATCACGTGCTTTCAGAAGGAGCAGAATTTACTACACATAGCCGTAGTTCACTGACAAGTTACGCAAAAAAATCGCAGACGATTTCATTGCGCGATTATGAAATCGAATAAATCGTTCGCGATAATGACAGCTGTTTGCATAGCTTCTCAGTGAACTACGGCTCTGTGAAGTAAATGCTGCTCCATCTGAAAGCATGTGAAAATACCACATTTAATAACATATTTTTACTCCAAACTCACTTCATAACGTCAGTCGAGTGTTTGAAATAAATCCTTCTGTGAGATGATGTGGCTTCTTACACAGAATAAGGCACGCAACATATTTCATAGTATTTAAGCAGTGATAAAGGCA